CATGCTGGAGACATTAAAGAGAAGATGTCTCACACATGCAATTATTCAGAGTCTCTTCAACTGTGAACACATGCTTGCATATGGAGAAGATTTTAGCTGTGGCTAACACCTGGTAAGCATGCTCCAGGATTCCCCCTCCCCCTCTGTATTTGCTCCCCTTTTCATGAAACTCTGAGATTCTGCAGGTCCAATGCCAGCTGCTAAACATTCAAGAGTTTGATTTGCTTAATGATGAAGCCCAAGAAGACATGAAGGAAACAGAAGAAGGGGGGAAATGGACTGAGCACATACTATTTTAAATCTTCTCTATCAAACAGCTCTTCCTGGTCTATTTTAAAATTACATATCTATGTCTACATGCCTGAAAAAATAATTGCTTGCATCTTCCTCTCTCTAGATCTGGTAGAGAAATAGCATCTCATAAGAATCAGCATTTAACTAGATCTAAGAACTTCGATCCCCACTGTGGAGCTGGTCACTCGTTCAGAGCTAGCCAGTTAAAAGATAAATAGGAGAGGGGAGTGAAGTCAGCAGTAAGATTTGGAGATATCTTTGAAGAAGAAGTGAAAGAGCCATTTTGAAAAAGTAAATGGCAATTCCGTCCTGAGAAAGAAAGGGTCATGAGAAAGAGACTCAAGATAACTTCACCTTGATTTTCTTTGGAAACCCTACAAGGCTTTTCAGATTTTGTTATAGCAAAAACATGAAGTTCATAGCAATGAAGTGCAATTTCAGTAGTTCTTGCATTTTTCTGCCCCATGACCTGTTCTACTTGAAAGAGCTGACTGTAAATGAATGTGAAACTCGATTTGCTTCTGTTCTCTTTTTCACTCTTTTTCTGACAAGTTTAACTCTCTTCTGCAAATAGCAAAGGCTAAGAACTACACCAAATAGGGACAAGAGTTACACACATCTTGTGTCTGTAACTGGCCTAGCCATTCTCTATTAAGAAGAAGAGTTCCATGAATCATTCTGAGGGAGGCCAGTTTTTCCATGATGATGACAACATGCATGTGCATTCCATAGGTAGACAGAGAGATAAAAATAAATTGAAAGATTTCTAAAGTTTGAACATAAGAAATATAAAAAGAATCTTGTTCAACCTGGGGTCTTAAAGGCATGTAGTATTATGAAAATGCTTTATCTGGGCTCCTTGGGTCAAATAAATACCATAAGGAGATTTGAAGTTTTTTCTTTAAATATTTTTTCATATAACTGGATATACAGTATTATGAATCACCTTGATCATATTTGAAACCAGTGTTTGTTGTTATTAATTTGTTCAACTTATATGCCACCCTACTTGTCTGGAGGCAACTCTAGGTCTCAGCTGCCATGTTTTAACCCCCAGATAATCATCTTTCCACAACTTGACAGCCACATGATATGTGATGAGTAGTTTCCTTAATTTACAATCAGCAAGAAATTCTAATCTACAATATATCTTTTTGCATTCTGCCCACCTTTTGTTTAGACTGATCGCTCTTAGCTACTTTGAACTTTGTTAAGGAAAAGGGCTGACAGAGAGTAATAGTCATCCTGCTGGCTTTGTCCTAAGGCAGGACTAGAACTCATGGTCTACCACTTTCTATCCTAGTGCCTTAACCACTGTACAAAACTAGCTCCCTACACGTGTCTACTCAGAAGTAAATTCTATAGATTTCAGTAAGTTGATTTTCAGCTAAGTAAATCAAGGCTTTGAGGCTGAATTGGAACAGTATATGTTACTATTTGATGAAGAAATTTTATTCTTGAATTGTATTCCGTTATAAAATAAATCGAAGTTTTGACATTCTCTTCTCCCTTTTTGAATGTTACTCCCTTGGTATATCCTGAGGAAAGGGTATCTTAACTTTCAGGTGTGAGAAAAAGTAAAATATAAAGAAGGAAAAATGGTAAAGTAATATTATTAGTGAGCTTTACCTCTACTGGTGTATATTTTAGACATTACTGTAAAACATGTTCACAATATTCCTGTCAAAGGTTTGGCAGGTACTTCCATATTTAGAGATATTAGGATATTGCCTGACCTTTTCACCACATTTTACTTGTATAAATATTCTGCCAAATTCATTAGTGTATACATTTCAAGTCGATCAGCTAATGCATACAAAATGACACACAGAGAAATATTTTAAAATTTTTAAATTGTACATACAGGAAATAAGAGAGATTAAATTTCTCCTGAGTGAAGGAGAAATGCTTTGGGACCATATGCCATTTGTCAGTTAGTAGTTTATGGAAAAGGGAAATTAGAACAAATTACTACTTTTAGAAATTCTGTAGTCTTGTAACAACCATCACAATGCTCCCTAAAGGTTTTTGTTTAATTCTGCATCTAGTTCTATGCTTCACAGCAGTAATTTTTTAATTTCCATCATGATTGATATATTTCATTTCACCTCAGGAAATTACTGCAAAAACTGTTGTCAGTAACACAACATATGTTATTGATTTGTTTGTTTTATTTTATTTATTTCAGGATTTATGCCACTTCACTCCTGTTGATAAACACTATAAATGAGATTTAAAAGTCTAAGAATCATATGAAATAAATTTCTTTTATGGGTGACAAATGGAAGCTGGTATGACTTACATAACCATTCCTTCTTCTTACGAAACATCGAGAATGCTGTTATAAGTGACAGGAGAGAATTCTCAGCATTTCACCAAATTATAATCCTTAGAATTATGATTTGTTGTACAAAATGAAGATTAACTATGGAATGTATTGTCATCTAACTGCTGTAAAACTGCCAGAAGGGCATATTTTAGAGGACACAAATTATTACTGTTCTATCATTCTTACGGTAACAAAATGAAAAGAGTATTATGTACATGATGGAAAATATTCTACTCAGTGTATTTAAATAAAATAAAAAGTTTTGTCTTAACCCACTACTACTATTTTGGACTTGACTTCCTGAATTTCCATTCAGTGTGGCCCTTGGCTTTCAAAAGAATTCTGCTATTTGTACAATAACAAGTATGTTAACATTGCTTAAAAAGATAATGGCATCTTTTCTTCATGGAAAAGTGGTCTGTATCCAAAATTTATGGAACAGGTAGAAGATGCATATTCCTTTCACAGGACATAATATTTAAATCCATCCCAATATTTTTAAGCTTTGAAAGTCTGCAGTTCTGCAATTCTTAATGTCAGGACAAGGTAGGTTGTCTCTATGTGAGCAGTCCAGTTCAAAAAAAATATCGCTAATACCTTGAAAAAAGATAATGATCAATAGCTCCATAGAAAAATAATCAAGAAAAACTTTGCAACCAACTTTCTCTGGTTGCTGCAATGCTATTTAGGGATCAACATGTCTTATAGAGACTTCAATAGGAGTGGATTCATAAATGTTTTTAAATGCATTCTGCTGAATCTGGACATCAATTCTATCTGACTCCAATAACATCTACAAGCGGTCCTCAACTTATGACCACAATTAAGCCCAAAATTTCTATTGCTAAGTGAGACATTTGTTAAATGAGTTTTGTTCCCATTTTACGATCTTTCTTGCCATGGTTATTAAGTGAATTACTATAGTTGTTAAATTAGTGAGTGAATCTGGCTTCCCTATTGATTTTGCTTGACAGAAGGTCACCAAAGGTGACCACATGAGCCTGGGACACTGCAAAATAGTCCCAAAATAAATATGACTCAGTTGCCAAGCATTTGAATTCTGATCACTTGATCATGGGGATACCGCAACGGTCAAAAGTATGTCAAAAAACAGTCATTTTCAGTGCCGTTGTAACTTTGAACAATCACTAAATGAGCTGTTGTAAGTTGAGGATTACTGTACCTGCACATATCTGAACAAAAATTAACACCCACACGTCGGACACATTTACATTAACAAAGCCTAGAATGAAAGACAGACAAACACGGGGATCACATTATAGTCTGGAGTCATTGGCAAGGTGGAAATAATGAGAAAAAGTGAAGGAACTACTTAGCTACTTAAAACTGGGGATCCCAGCAAGAAAAAATACTGCTGTTGCTTTAAGGTAGATCATATTTTTCCCTTTATATGCATCCAAGCTATATATTAGAGCAAATTGTAAATCTATGACTGTAGTTTTGATTTCACAGGAAAAAAATAGCAGAATGGAAAACAAACATTCTACTATAGTAAAGGCAGGATTTTTACCCATCTGCACATCCTCAGGTATTTACTGCTTGTATCCACAACATTTTAAGGACACTATGACTTTTGCATTCTGTTCCTTTCTATTACAACTAGCTATTAGAGTATGCACAGTTGCCCACATATGGCTATGAATTCTTATTTATTTTGCAATTAAGAGGGAGGCAGATTTGTTTGATTCAAAGAGGATAATTACTGGTACACATCTGTCTTTCCACAGAAAATTACTCAGCTTAACAGAACAGCTTTTTATACATGCAAAAGAACAAGGTATTTTGTGCAAGACAGATACATTCAGGGTTTTTTAAAACTTACTAACAAAATAAAATCTGTTTGGGGCCTGTTGACACATGTTGTTATCATACTTGCATTGGTAAACAAACTAGCTTACACTGTTGGAAATGCTGTGGTAGGTAGACCACCCAGGCAAGCATATTTGAGATATGTTTGAAAAGACCTCTAGTAAAGCTAGGAATATGACTGAACTTCCTGCAAGTTGGTTCCTCATTTTACAATTCCAAATACTTTTACTCTTTGTTTACCACATATGCTTAAGATGCATTTTCCTTATGGACTTTGTTGAAAGTTACAGAATAACAAATAATTGTTTAGTATATTTTTCATTATGATTTAGCATTTCTACTCAGTCTGCTGTCAAACTATAGCATAGAATACTACTTCTTTTCTTTTTTTACTAAAATGAGCATTCATTACAAGTTGAGAGTTAGAATACTAAGTATAATGTTTACTGTTTTTGTGTGCTTTGAGCATTGAACTCTTGAGTTCAATTATTAAAGATGTCGTAGGTGGAAGCACCTGAAGTTCTGTCTGTTTTCTTTTGTTTTCTAGAAATCCTTTGGCTCTACTATTCAACTAACCTTTGATTTCTGCTAAGCTGTTATGCTTCTCTCCAAAATTGGTAATATACAAAATGGAAACAAGTCAAAAGAAATAAAATTTCCCTTATTTCTTTGGGTCTCTTGTGAATCACATGACATCATAATGTTACTATACAACAGGGTAGTACAGTGCTTTTGTATGTACCATTCAAAGAGAATAGTTGTAGCTCAGGGTTGCACTGATAATATTACCTAGTTTGGTAATGAAATGTCTGCAACAAAACTACCAAGCTCAGAGAGCACCAAGGATCCTGCTTTCCAATGTTTTGGGAAGAGGTATTTCAAAATGGACAGGAGTGATAATATGCCTGTGTTTTTTTTTCTTGCTTTGTACAGCTGGCAGATAATATTACACTATGAATCTACATTTTATAATTTGCTTAAATATTTCTTCAGCTTGAAAATTTCTCTCTCATTACGTTTGATGGTTTCTGACAATACTTTATTATCAGGTGTCTGAAACTATTGGTTGTAGGGGTTTTGTTTTAGAAATCTCCCAATCCCTCTTAGGTTTTCTGGTGACTCTTTCTTCTTAATCTGAGAAAAACAATGAGAAGATGACACATCTTGTCTTCCTGTATGCATTTAACAAGTATGGAAAGCCAGAGAAGTTGAAGGCTGCTAGAGAGAGGTTTTGCAGAACAATCATATATCTTTTGTCATCTCATAACTACTTACCATCTTTCATGCTTGAGAATTTAATTGACATCTTCTTCTCCTTTGTAAAGAATATAGAAAATATTTTTTTACTAAAAAAAAATGAAGTGGACTCTTGGACAAAAACCAAAGTAGAAAAGTTCACCAGGACTAATCACACATTTCTAAAAAGCAGTAATTTTAAGAGAACACTAGGCAGGCTACTCTAATTCATGCTTCAGTGTGCACTTACTTCCTTTGTATATATTTAGCATTGTAGAGAAAATGCTTTAGAAATTACATCAAAAGAAATAGCTATCATGTATTTAATCTGAATAATTAAGTCTGAACTCCTAGGAACATATTAGCTGATGTCATCATTTTGAAGTATTACATGAGGTACACGTAAAAAAAAAATCAGAGTTAAAGGCAAGGGTTAAAAGCTGTCAGTGATCAAATCTATGTATAGACATAGATTTATATGCCTAAAATCCAAAATGGAAGTAAACCCATTATTAATCTGCTTAGTGTGCGCTTTAGTAACTAGCATACTGGTTTCTAGATCTTGCCTTAGACACAAAGCAAGCTGGGTGACCTTGGACCAGTCACTCACTCACAGCCCTAGCTAGGAAGCAATGGCAAACCACTTTTGAAATCTTGCCAAGTAAACTTCAGGGACTAAATTGACTTTAATAATAAGTAATAAAATAAAAATAAAATATATATTTCTGATCAGTAACTTGGAGATATATCATTTGCTTATATAATTGAAAGCGATTTCAAGCAAGCATTCCTAGTATTACCACATATTTTAAACCACAGTTTTTTTCATTTTCTTTGGCTTAATGGAATTTCTCTGGTTTGGCTAAAGATCCTTGATAAGAAATGTAAAAAAAAAAAATTCTAATTGAAGAGAACAGTGGTGATTTGGTCCCACCTATGGAGTAAAATTGCATGAATTTTATTGTCAGTTTGCCCCCACAATATCCATGTGATGCTACCTAGTACTCTGTGAGCTGCACTGATTATGAATTGGCTTCCATTTACAATTCAAAGTCCTGCTTGTCGCCTATAAAGTCCTTTGTGGCATAGGGTCAGGTGATTTGAGGGATTGACTGTCTCTGGTTATACTTACTTTTTCAGTGATATCAGGCAGTGATCATGCTTTAGATCCCTTCGATCAAGCAGTGTCATCAGTTGCATCCTTTCCTCAACCATGAGGCCCTTGAGACAGACACTCACGCCCTGGACACCTCACAACTGGATTCTTGCAATGCACTCCACATGGGGCGGTCCTTGAAGATCACCAGGAAGCTAGAGTTAGTAGAAAATGCAGCAGCACATTCATAACAGGAACTTCATGATATACCCACATACCACTAGTGCTGTGTGAGCTGCATTGTTAGCCAATGCCTACGGGGTGCAATTCAAGATTCTGGTTGCTAACTATAAATCCCCATAGGCTTTACCTGAAGACTGCTTATCTCCAATTGTTCCTGACTGCCTGTTATGTTCAGACAGACAGAATGTAGGGATGACTCTATTAAGCACTGCCATCTTGTGGGACCAAGAAAGCATGCCATCTATGTCACTGTCCCTGCCCTCTGGAACAACATCTCACAGAGATACAAATGGTGTTCACTCTCCTGGGGTTCCAGAAAGCCTTTAAAACCTGGTGGTTTTCCCATGCCTGAGCTTACTGTGTTTAATGATGTATTTATGAAGCTCCTCTCACACTTGTTTGGTTTATTGTTCTGTCTGTTGGTTTTAGTCCTGTCTGTTTATGGGTGTTTGTTTTAATCATTTTCTGGATTCTGTAACCTGTGCAGGGCCTAATGTTGTGGGCAAGTATAACAAATTTAATGCATTTGATTTAATTAATTAAATCTAGCTTTTGGGACCCAGGAAGTGTGATTTCTCTGTCAGGGCACATGCCCTCTGGAATGATATCCATCAGGATGGCTGCCACCCTGATGACATTCAGGAAGCAATTAAAATGCTGGCTATTTTTCCAGGTTTAGAAGTGAAGGTTGAACCTCTACTAGATGGGGTTTGCTTTGTTATTTGTGGCTTTCGGACCACTTATTACTTCTTTTTGACTTCTGTAATTTTTTATTACTTTTTAATTGTAACCCATTCAGAGTCATTGGTAATCAGGGTGCCTATAAATTGAACAAATAAATAAATAAAATAAAATGAATAAGATAGAATTAGACAAATGAGGGTGTCTGGAAAATCTGTGTGTATTAGAGTGTGCCACTGGTTACTGGGAAGCATTTCAGTACACGTCATTAGGAAAACAAATCCCCAGCAAGCAAAGATGAAGTAAATGGATTTAAAATGGATTCATTCCTATAATTAGCAATATTGTGCTTAAACAATGGATTTACAATTATTGTGGTTGTGACTGATTTAATTAACAAATTCATCCATTTTATCAGTGTCCCGTTATAGTCCAATGACTCTGTGGGGAATAGAACTGACTTTTACTGAAGAGGATTGAACAGAAATAAGAACTTTGGTAGGCAAGTCTGAGATATAACTCTGGCACTGAAACTTTCCCTTACATTATAAATAGCAGGCTATGAGGAGCAATTGCCCTAGTTCCATTTAAGTTATGGTTTAGTGCTGAGTTCATAAGAAAATATGTTTATTTCAGACTGTAAAACTAATACATTAAACTGGATCCCAAGAATGCTTTTAAAATTTTGAGTTTATATGTATGGTCCTGTGTACTGGAACCTCTGTTGAATAGACAAAATGTCATGAAGGAAGATCATAATAATAAAATATTCAGGACAGGGAGAAGTAGATATGAGTCGGAAGGGAGCATTTAAAGAAACATTCTCTTCTCCTCTTACAGTCTTTAAATACTATGTGTTATGAGTGCATTAGGAACAAGAGAAATTCAGATCAGGAGATAATGGCACAGGCAAAGAGTTACAGAAGTTTTGATCTATCTCTGCTCAGTTTCCTGCCATCACTTTGCCTGTATCATGTTCAGTTTGTTTCTTGGATTTAAGCCAATCAATGGAAAGTAATGAAACTCTAAGCTTATATTTATATCAAAAGTTGATACATAGAATAGCACATTTTTCCTTGTTTCAAAAGGAAGAGAGAAAAAATTAGATAGCTGTAGGTCTGACTAAAAGCTATGCTAGGGATGGGATGATACTATGTGGAAAATGTATGTGGGATAGTAGTAATCACAAAAAGAAAATGGAAAACTGGGGTGGGGAAAACATCACACCTATAATAACAAGATGTTGAAAACAAATGACTTTAACTGAAATGGATTGGGGTGTATGTGTATGAAAAAGATTATTAAAAGAAGCAGTTTTGCAACAAAATATTGCAGTGAAGAATGCTTCTGCTTAGTAGTTCAGCTTCTTTCAATCCCCCATGCTTTCCTTGCACGTAAGTAGTCCAAGCCCTACTACTGATTCATGAATATGTGCACAACCGAACCCAGTTTGATACCAATAGCAATAGCACTTAGACTTATATACCACTTTATAGTACTTTACAGCCTTCTCTAAGCGGTTTAGAGTCAGCATATTGCCCCCAACAATCTGGATCCTCTTTTTACTGACCTTGAAAAGATGGAAAACTGAGTCAACCTTGAGCCACTCAGAACTGAACTCTTGGAGTGAACAGTGAGTTAGCCTGAAGTACTGCACTCTAACCACTGTGCCACCATAGCTCTTTGGTCAAGTATCTGTAATGTGTTTATGTCACTGAAACCTGTTGAGAGCCTTAAAACAAAGGTTAACTCCAAGGTCATGAGTTCCCACTGTAACCTAAATCTAATTATTTGAAGTCATTTTCTAAAATTAATTTAGAATACTTTAATGTGCATCATATTTGCCCAAAAGTTAATAGAGCACAAAACTTAATGCAGTTGGGTACTTCATTTTGGCCAAGGAAGAAATCATTGGTGGCTATTTAAGTAACATTTCTTCTGATCTAGATTAGCTGTGTACTACATTCAGACATATGAAGTCCATGTGTCTTTAGAAGTTACATTACAGGACTTTCATGGCAGTTAGAGTGCAGTACTGCAGGCCACTTTAGCTGACTGTGTTCAGCAGGTCAGCGGTTCAAATCTCACCGGCTCAAGGTTGACTCAGCCTTCCATCCTTCCGAGGTAGGTAAAATGAGGACCCAGATTGTTGGGGGCAAAGTAAATATATATATACATTGCTTACTGGTGTACACCGCTTAGAGAGTGCTTGCACTTAAAGCGGTATATAAGTCTCATAAATAAATAAATAAAATAAGTCTCATAAATAAATATCATCCTTTCTCAGTGCAAATGCAACATTTTAGATTTGCATTAGTAGGAGAATTTTAAAAAGAGGAGGGGGAAGAAGAAGAATTGAATTAGAAAATCTCATTATTCTACTTTTACATTTAAATCATTGTTTATTCACCTGGCAGCTCTTATTATGCTCTGAGGGTAATTTAAATGGTTTCTCAGAGTACAGTAAAACCAAGAAATTATATTACAAGAAAATGAGAGCTCTTACTTTTTATTGTTATGTATCTCTTTTCTATGTTTCTTTTTTAGATCTGTTGCACTCCCCTCTCCACTTGAATATAGAAACTTCTGTTCCAGGGTTTTATCTACAAGTATGTCCTTTTTGCACATAACAATTGTCATTTCAACTGCCTAATGTAGGCACTCTTGGGAAGCATAAAAAACAGCAGAAGGGAAGAGAACAATAGAGTGCCTACTCTACTTTAAAGCTGCTTATTACAGTGGAAGCAACACAGTCTGCCTTGAGGCTTGATTTCTTATTCTGGAAGACACACATTCCACTTCATAAAGTGTTAGGGTGGGGCCTTACCTCAAAGAAAACGGCTCCCTTAGGATAGAGAATATAAAGTAGATTGATTAAGTTAAATGGAAGCCTGCATTAAGCTCCAGCTTTGCAATTTAAGTAAGGAGCTATCCTTCCAAAGAATGATCCAATGTTTTGGGGAAAATTGAAAACTTTTCATTCCCTCCCCCCTTAACTATCCAATAGAATGACATATTAATCTTTTATAATGTTAAAGTTGGCATAACATTCAAACCTCAGAAAAATCAGAAACTTGTTGCCATCCTGAACATTTCTAATTCCTTCTTTGAAGTTTAACATATTTCCACCATATGACAAGCACTTTATTTCTCCTCAGTCTAAAGAAGACCAAGATGGCTTTAATTTTTATTTAAAACATGTTCCATTTATTTTTAATTCGCTTTTTAGTAGAAGCTTGCAATAGATTTTATACAGAATGTTAATCAAAGATGGTTCAGGGATTCTTACCTATTCCTGGATTATAAATTATAGTATACACACACACACACACACACACACACACACACACACACACACACCACCTGATGTTTCCTATTGATTCTCTTTCAGTACAGGAAGAATTGTAAACTGTTATATGGAAGATGTAAAGAAATGTACAAGCATAAAAAAGATTGTCCAAAAAAGCCAATACTTCCAAAGTTAGGCGTGGATCCTAATCATGGAAAAAATGCCCTGGGGCAATGATATTTAGATAAGGTCATGTAAAACTCTATCTTTCACACAGAATTAACTAGTGCCATTAGTAACACTCTTCTGTTTTTGTTTTTGTTTTGCTTTCCTGATAGGAATGTCCCAGAAAAAGAACTTCAATGTCACACACTGACTGTGTGCCATGACAGCCTCTCAGGGATGGAAAATACTTTTAGTCTGTCCTTCACAAATTATTGCCATAGGTTTATACTTTGTAAGTGGAAGTAGAGAATCCTTTCTTTCAAACAAATCTCTTTATCTTGGGGATAGTTATACCCATCTTTTGGTTTCCCTATATCTTTGTTTTCTTCTGCCTGATGTATTTCAGACAATTTTGAAATTAGATTGAGAAATGGAAGAAATTAGGCCCTGATATCCAAGTTGCTGACTCCTAATTACAGTTTTTTAAAAAAACAAAAATAATAATGTGAACTACAGAAGACATATTGGAAGTTGCAGCTAAGCAGCATCTTGAAGGCTGCTGGTTCTGCATCTCTATCCTAGGTCTGATTTGAAACCATGTAATTTTTTTTTCCAGGATAAGCATGCCTAAACAGGCAATGCCTGGATTAACATTTGCTTTGGAATCTTATATAGCCATGTGCGCTGGAAGAGAGAGAAGAGGTAAGGATTATTGATTGAATGAAATGCATTTATTTTGTAAATCCATGAATTGAAAAATAGAATTTGTGCAAGGGCAATTGGCTACAAAATGCTTAAAAGGAAGCAGCATTTCAGCCTGCTTATTTTAGGTCATGTTTACTAAGATAGCATGTTCAAACTGGAAGGAAGGAAGGAAGGAAGGAAGGAAGGAAGGAAGGAAGGAAGGGAGGGAGGGAGGGAGGGAGGGAGGGAGGGAGGGAGGGAGGAAATAAAAGAAGGTGATTCAATGAAACAGGAAGATCTGAGCCATTGCTTATCTCTATTTTCAATTGACTGTCCCCTAAAATAGATTACACCTATATAGGAAGCACATTCCACAAATTTCCTATAAAATAAAATATTTTTACTCTATGGTTCAATGGCTAATTTCCAAGCTATAATATCATAGGCAGTCTATCTAAGGAAAAGGTTCAGGTTACTCTCAAAGATCTTTCCACGATGACAAGATAAACGATGCCTCTTGGTTATTCTTTTTTAAAATCTGACAATTTTTTAAAAAAATTAGATGTTCTCTGAATTCCCAAAGGCTATTTAAAACTGGGGCTTCTAGTTACGTTTATTAAGCAAATTACTATGGTGACACTATAATTGTGGAAGGTAAAAAGAAAGTTGCAAGATTGTGTTACATCTCTTTGAAGAAAACATTTTCAATGATAAATGACATGTCCTATCAAACATTTAAATATGTTTAAATTAAGATTTTTTTAATTAAAAACATGTACTGTGAATATGATTCCTCAAGTATTGCAAACCTCATCACTGATCCGGTGAAAAGAATTTGATGACTCAGGTCTAATTAATCCGAGTCACACTCAACTCATTCACTCCCAGTTTCTGAGCTATCAAATTACTGAGCCAGCTGGACACCCTTCACTTCAGTGGGCTGACTTTAATCAAATCACAGTTGTCCTGACCCCCTACAGTGCAACAACAGCTTGTTTTGATATTGGTATCAACATTATTCAAAGGCTGATGAATAGTTCTTCCTAATCTTCCCTAACTGATCCATTGAACATGAAGAGAGCTGCATCGGTTGGTGTTACCTAATTACCCTCCAAGTGAACCCACTGGGTTTCCAAGAAGCCAAGACCTATGAAACTAAAGAAATTACAGAGTCCAAAGGAAAGAATACAGTATGAATTTGAATGAATATTTGTTAAAGTACTATTAAAGAACTATTAAGGAAAAGCGAGGTGACAAAGCAAAGAAATATCTTATTGTCACAGGATAGACACTTTTAGGTCTTTTTTTTTTCCCGGTTACTGGTCAGGTTACTACTGGTTCTCTATGGATAATTTGTTCCATTCTTAATTATTTCCCTTCATCCATCCTCTTTTATTTGGTGATGACAGTAGTTGCACTTGGGGCTACTTGTCTAGTTACTCTGGATGTTTTAAACTCTAGAGATTGAGAACTCTAGTTTGCCTGAAATGATAGGCAATATCTCCTATTTAACCTATTGCTGCTGATTAAATTCATCTGAATGCAGTCTCTATAAACAATGTGGTCAAGGATTTATTATATTCATTTAGGAAAGGATGAGTACTTCATCTAGTTCTAGGGAAGGTTTAGATCAGACATGTCAAACACAAGGCCCGGGGGCTGGATAGGGCCCATGAAGTAGTTTCATGTGGCCCATGAAGCCATCCTGGAAACAGTGAGGGAACTGGCTGGCCGGGAGCCAATGTACAATGTACAATTTTGTGGTGGCCATCTATGCTGAAACGCATTCAGTCTTAGCTCAAGGCCATCTAGAAACAGCGAGGAACCAGCCCTTGCCGTGTCAGCCCTGCCCCCTGGGTGCATGCTGGGGAAGCATCATCCTTTGTGAGGAATGAAGAAATGGACCATGCCTTGGCACTTGCCCCGGTTCCACCCCCTTCTGCCAGAAACCCTCAGATCTGTTCCACTCCTGCCCAGGCCCCGACAGGCACCCTTGACATGAATGATGTAGAGCTGGCCATGCCCACCCAGTAGGCTGCACCCACCCTGACCACACCCACCCAGCCTCCCAAGGGCAACCGCAATGCTGATGCGGCCCTCAATGAAATTGAGTTTGACACCTCTTGTTTAGATGTTCATATGTTGCCTCCTGTTTTATTCACAGCAACCTGTAAACACATTTTGAATTCAGTGGACCATATAATAAATGAAAACAACACACAAACACATTATCCACATAGGTTGCATTATGGGGAATCCAGCAGAAAAACATGTTGTAATAGCATGTTTATGCCACGATTAAGTGCAATTAGATTAAACAAATATTCAAACCTTACAAGAGGAAATATATATCTGGGAAGATTTTTTACGAAAGTAGGATAGTATCATTTAGTCTTGAAAGTCTAACCAAGTAATTTCCCCACACATCCTTTACTTAGCTTAATTAAAGCAGATTTACTTTGAATCTTCTCATGTTCTTGTTAAAATATATCTTCTATAATGAGTCTATTTCCTCCCTTAACTGTCTTTTTGCTCCTCCTATAATGCTGTGGTCTATTAGTCATGCTATCCCAGTAGGAGGAAGAGATTTGACTTTTAAAAAAAATCTCCATACAAAATTCATGCAATTACTAGATGTGAAGAAAGATTTCAAAATTTCTTTACGGTTGCCTAATAGTCTTTTGGATTTTCTTCAACCCAGGTATAATATGGGTAATAATAATACTGTTTCTATCTACTGATAAGCATGTGTGATTACAGATACAATTTATTTACTTTAACGATACTTGGCAACAAATTCACTTTTTTTTCTCCTCAGGTTACTATCACTCAACATTACCCTGTTCACAATCATGTCTACTCAAGATATGAGATTTTCAATTTTCATTCCTGGGATGGAAATGAAAAACTGCAAAGCCTGATGACATCACAAACCAAGAACAGAACAAGTGGTCCCAAATAGTAGTCTCTATGTTTACTGATTCTGTCTTCTAGACAACTATTAAAGTAAAGGAGACACATTCTCTTTACCATTTGATTTGCCCAAATCTTCTACAGCCCATCCTCTTGTTAGCCAGTCAAAATCTTCCACAATCTATTGAATAAGAGATGTATTTGGGGGGGGGGGTTGCACTTGTCACACTCGAAACAATGCATAGTTTATTTCTAAATCACATTCTTTAACATCAGCATGAATACAGGTGAAGTTTGATGGCTTTTTAATGTAATTCTGAGATGTTTGTCTTATTTTAAACCAAAGCAACTTGTTCCAGGGTAAAATATTTGCACTGACTTCTGTAAATATTGTCTCTTCAGTTTCTGTCTGTACAAACCAAGCTTCAGCCTTGAGATTAGATGTTTTAATTCTGCAGACTGGCAGCCATGCATGTAAAACTTTAGGAAATCTGAGGACAGGTCCATGAAGCCAGAAAAACATCTCTTTTTTAGAAGTGATCTTTCCTGGCAATAATTTCTCTCCCACAAACTTTGCTTGATTTCTCTGAAAGTAACTATAATAACAGGGGCAGAAAATGGAGCAGTGAAATTGAAAGGAGATAGTTGTACATATTCTTTTTTTTTCATATTAATTTGCTTTGCAATTAGAGTCAGAACTTGTATTGCTGAGTCCCAGAGGCATTGGCCTAGCTGGAAACTGTATCATATACCTGCATCTTGCAATAGGTGCTGACTAGATTGTAAAATAAATATTTCAATGTACTTTGTTTTATTAAACAAAATAATGATCATAACAATATAACATGGTACAGCTTTCACAGAAAAGAAATTGGAACTTAGATATATTTGGAGAATTGAAATAAACTTTCTTGTAGTCATGGTGTAAACAAATGATGCTACTTGGATCGCCACCAAAGTTCCCTAATTTTCTACACTCTGTGGTGTTGGCCTGTCTCATACAAGGGAGAATGTTGGCCACACTTCATGGGAGACATGCTTTTTATGGACTAACTTAAGTAAAGTGGAAAGTTTATAGCAGGAAATGTCCACAGTTGTTTTAAGGTCATTTTTCAAAGAAGAAAAGCAAAAAATAAAAAGGAAGAAATCCAAAATGGAGGTTGCATATTTAAATCTAATGTCGTGTGCTTTGGTATGAATAGAATAGAATAGAATAAAATAGAATAGAATAGAATAGAATAGAATAGAATAGAATAGATCTTGGAGGTCTTCTAGTCCAATCTGCTGTTCAAGCAAGAGACTCTATTCCATTTCAGACAAGTGGTTGTCCAGTCTCTTCTTAAAAACTTCCAATGATGAAGCACCCACAACTTCTGACAGCAAGCATTTCCACTGGTTAATTGATCTTACTATTAGGAAGTGTCTCCTTAATTCCAGGTTGCTTCTCTCCTTGACTAATTTTCATCCATTGTTTTTTTGTTCCATCCTTTGGTACATTGGAAAATAGGTTGACCCCCCCCCTTCGTTGTGGCAGCCCCTCAAATACTGGAATACTATTATTGTATCACCCTAGTTCTTTTTTTCACTAGACAAGCCATATCCAGTTCTTGCAACCATTCTTTATAGTCTCCAGGCCTTTAATCATTTTAGTTGCTAATGGGATTTTCTAGAAGCACGATCCATTGAACTAAATCTTTTGCCCCTCTCTGAAATACCTTATCCATAAAAATAAGGGTAGTAAAAAGAATTCTGCACCTGGAAATGTAATATTTGACTCAAAGCTCTCTGAAAGTACCATACTATGTGTTGATATAACACAAGCAAGTGCTATAGCACATTTTCGGAAGCAATTGGCACTATTCTAAGGCAGAGAAAATATCAGAGCAAATTATTTTTTTGAAAATGAATTATGAGTACACACGCAAACTCTATATAATCAGATGTACTATTTTGACTACAAGGAGGAACAATTGGGTGTGTTATGCACAAGACCCAAGGCTATCTGAAAATAATGGTCTTTAGGCAGTTTGATATTAATTCCATGTAATTATTCTTATGCTTTGGAGATTTAAATTATTTTAATGCACAATTTTAAAACTATCTTATACTCTGCCTTGTTTCAGCAGGCATAAATTTTAGCTTGCACTGAGTTTTATATGTTCTACCTGGTATATTACCTATACCAAAACCTCTGTTAACATTCAGCCTTAGTAAGAAGCCATGTTAAACAAGATATAACAATTAAGGAAGCCCTTCACTTTTATTTGGCTATCAAAGGTAGTCCTTGATTTACGACAACAATTGAGCACCAAATTTCTGTGGCTAAGTGAGACAGCTATTAAGTGAGTATTGCCTCAGTTTACAACTTTTCTTGAATCACTGCAGTTATTAATAACAGTTAAGTGAATCTGGCTTCCCCATTGTCAAAAGATTGCAAAAAGTGATCACAGGACCTTGCAACTGTCATAAATATAAGTCCGTTCCAAGCATCTGAATTTTGATCATATTACCATAGGGATGCTTCAACAGTCATAAGAGTGAAAAACAGTCATAACTCACTTTTTTCATTGCCTTTGTAACTTTGAACAGTCATTAAATGAACTGTTGTAAATCAAGGACTACCTGTACTTGAAAACCCCAACCATACTTTATCCATGTTGAATGTTAATATGCTATTTCTAGGTCTTTCTAAAATCCTTCTTATGATTTTTTGTTTTGTACCTGGACATAACTCACAACTGTGAGAGGGACCTCGGAGTCCTAGTAGACAATCACTTAAATATGAGCCAGCAGTGTGCGGCAGTTGCCAAAAAGGCCAACACAGTGCTAGGCTGCATTAACAGAGGGATAGAATCAAGATCATGCGAAGTATTAATACCACTCTGCAATGCCTTGGTAAGGCCACACTTGGAATACTGCATCCAGTTTTGGTCACCACGATGTAAAAAAGATGTTGAGACTCTAGAAAGAGTACAGAGAAGAGCAACAAAGATGATTAGGGGACTGGAGGCTAAAACTTACAAGGAACGGTTGCTGGAATTGGGTATGTCTAGTTTAATGAAGAGAAGGACAAGGGGAGACATGATAGCAGTATTCCAATATCTCAGGGGCTGCCATAAAGAAGAGGGAATTAAGCTATTTTCCAAAGCACCTGAAGGCAGGACAAGAAGCAACGGGTGGAAACTAATCAAGGAGAGAAGCAACCTAGAACTAAGGAGAAACTTCCTGACAGTGAGAACAATTAATCAGTGGAAAAGCTTGCCTCCAGAAGCAGTAAATGCTCCAACACTGGAGGTTTTTAAGAAGAGACTGGACAGCCATTTGTCCGAAATGGTGTAGGGTTTCCTGCCCGAGCAGGGGGTTGGACTAGATGACCTCCAAGGTCCCTCCCAACTTTACTATTATTATTATTATTATTATTATTATTATTATTATTATTATTATTATTATTATTATTATTATTATTATAACTAAAAGAAGACTTTATGAAAATTTTTCCTCTAAAGCACCATTTTTTTTAAAAAAAAAAATTACATATGGCCATTCTAAGAAATAATGCTTTGCCTCAGGCTCCTTAGGGTTTTGTATAAGGACAAATATGATTCAATTGTGCCAATAATATGTGAAAATGATAGTGATAAGAAAGCAAAGGGATCCATTTGATGCATGGATTTGTTTAATTCTATCTTCCTCCTACCTTTTGCATTCACCACTCTTCAGATGAATTTGTACATTTACAAGAATAATAATGAAAAGAACTTTGCATTATTTATTAACAAAGCTGTCTTTACAAGTCTTCATTTGTTATCACTATGTGCTGAGTGAATGCATTTAAAGTGCAGGAGACATTGGTGCATATTAGTTTAAAGAAAAGCTTTTAACTTTGTTTGAAATGCTGGTGCCCCTGGAAACTAGTTGATTCTTGTTCTGAAGTAGGCAATTTAAGACACATGAAAAGATGATGTAATATTTACCAAAAAGGCAAGTCCACAAAGAATCCTTCAGGCAGCATTAAGTCAGAAAATAAATTTGACCTAGCGCAGGATCTGTAGAAACATTACAAAACACTGCACAAATAACAAACTTCAAAATAAGTATTTTGATCTTCAGAATTTATCATTCTCTCTTAAAGCTGATAGGAACATTTCAGAAGGTACCCTAGATTCTAAACCAGTATTGCTCTAATCATTAAGACTGTGAGCTAGCATATAGACAGATCAAGTTTAAGTCTACCTTCATTGAGTGACTTTGGCCATCACTATCACTCAGCCCAACATATACCACAAAACTATTGTTGGAAAGATTGAAGGAGGGGATAGTATGTATGATGGTGCCATCAGCTCCTGAAAGAAAGATGAAATGTAATAAACACAGTACACACACACACATACATGCAGAAAGCAGACCTTTTCAGTGATTAAAAACCAATACAACATTAGATGCAGAGCATCCATATACTAGCATGTATTATACGTGTTAGCCTCCCATCACTCAGTTCAAGCACTAAATTCAAGCACTGCAAATTATAACAGCTCCCAATCTGTCTATCTCTTGTTCTGTGTGATTATTTCACCCAAACGATATTTTTTCACATTCCTGAAATTCCTGAGTTATAATACTAAATAACTTTCATCAGGAATATCTTGCACAGCTATATGATTGATTGGAGAGAGAGGATGAAAACAAGAGCTATAATTTTATATTTTTCTGACTATATAAAAGACAACTGTTCCTCTTTTCAAGGAACACAACTGATATTGTAATCATGATTTGATAAGCACTTCTTCCTTTACACTTCTGCAAACTTCTTTGTTATCCTGAATTTAAGTGGCTGTTCCAGAACATCTTTCCCGTTACTTACCTTTGACAAAAATATACACTCTAGCATTTATTTTCACATTAGACTTCCTACATTTCTAAAGTTGTGCTATGCGTGTTTCCAGAATAACAGAGTTATTCCTTTATTGTCTCTAGGCAATCAGCACTAACATTTGACAGGGAGTTTTTTAAAAATCTCCTGTTTATTCAAACTACTCAAATCAAGATAAAATGGTGATATGGGAGGATCAAAATAGCCTTTCATATACTTTCATATACTGACAATGATTTAAAATTAAGTACACTATAAATATAATGTAAAATGTACAACATAAGACAGAAGTTCTCATGACAGATCTGGAGAGATGATAAAGGGGGAAAAATCTGTTTATCTGTAACTGTATTATTCCGCCACAATATTGTTCCTTATTCTGCTGTCTCTTTTTGTAAGGCAATTTCTGGTCTAACATTTTCCAAAGATTTTTTTTTAAAAAAATCTGAAATAAAATATATGGCAGATATGTTGATTATAAATCTGAAAATTGAAGATTATATTTATTTATTTTTAAAGCCAATGGATTTTTTTCCATCTTAAACCTTCCATCTTAAACCTTAAAATATGCTGCAGGGATAGAAAGAAGCCAATGTGCAAATAATTTGGAACATATATTAGGATTTTAAACGTTACTGAAAATGGAAGTGACCCTTTGACCACCAGCATCTATTTTAAAAAGTACAATCCTCCCCTGGTCCCTCTATAGATGTGGTTTGATTTTTTTTGAGAGAAGAGGGAAAACTATCAGGATTTCACATGTGACTAGTTCCATCCCTCACAAAATTCATTTACATTTCTGTTTCCCTTATCTTAAAAGTTGTAGCTGCATGGAGGCTTTTTCAAATGCTGGACTTGGAACCTTACTGGGATAGAGAATTGTGCCTCCTTCATTTGTGCTATGTAGCAACCTGGGCAAAAAAGCACAAATGTTTCAGTTCAGAGAGGAGATGAGAAATTTTCTCAAATGAACAGATAGAATAGTGCTTCTTAACTTTGGCAAGTTTAAGATTTGTGGACTTTGACTCCCAAAGTTTCTAGGGAACAAAGTTTGAGATTCACACTTTTCAAAGTTGCTAAGGCTGAAAAACATAGCTGTCTATTCGTCACATAGGCGTTGTGATGTAATAATGAGTCAAAGCTGGACAATGCCTATTACCTAGGTGTGCCTAGGGTTCCTCCAATTTAGGGACCCTCCAAAACTGTGGACTTTGATCATCATTATCCTTTATTTGATATGATCTTTGATAAAGATTCTGGAAATTAATCCTTACTTGAGCATAGAATTCAGCCATATAATGAGCAAATCCTTTCAGTTCAAGGAACTGATAACTTTTTTTCTTTTTTCTTTCCAACCTATAACTCAAATATTGTCACTTCTCAGTATTATATCCAGATCCCAAAATAAACTTGGGATTTTCTCTTCTTATTGA